GGAAGGAAGGAAGGAAGGAAGGAAGGCAATAAATAAATAACAAATAACAAATAACAAATAACAAATAACAAATAACAAATAACAAATAACAAATAACAAATAAATAAATGTTGGCTGAGGAATTTGGGAATTGATATCTGCAATGCTAGCTAGGGAATTGTGGAAATTGAAGTCCACACATCTTCAAACTAGCAAGTTTGAGAAATACTCCTCTGGCTTGAAAATCCATGCTAGGTTTTCTAGTTTCCGCAAAGTTTCAGTGCTGTTGAAGGAAGATAAGACCAACAGGCCATCTGCACTGCAGATCACACACATTCCTCGGTATCCTGAAATAAAAGCAAGATATATTGGGTTGAAATACATCGACTTAGTTAATCAATGTGGTAATTGGTAATAGCCTATGTGATATCAGCTGGGACTCATTCAATTAAATCCATTCTTTCTCCTCCTGCTACGATTAAGGGGGGAAAAAAGTTGAATGAAAAGTTTAAATAATATATTACTTAAATCAGATTTTCTTATCTTATGGGAAGCTTGTGCCTTCCCAGTTGTCTGGGGAATCCATGATATAAGTCAGTTCATGCTTTGCTGCATATATGCATTTAGCATATATATATATAAATGCATATATATATTTAGCATATATATATAAATGCATATATGCATTTAGCATATAACCCTAACCCTAATCCTAACCCTAACCCTATTCCATCTATAAGGTGCTAAAAATAGAAATGGGTGATAAAATTTATTCTTTAACTTCCTACACAATGTTGAAAACAAACAACTTTAAAGAGTAGCTCTTGAAAAGTATACAGATGTCTGTGTGTATATGTGTACCAGTATATATGTACACAGACATACGTGTACATATGTATACATACACATACATGTGTGTACTTATGTACATGTGTGTGTGTGTACATATATGCCTTTCTCTCCGGGCTAGGAAGCAGGCAATGGGAAACCATTTCTGAAAAATCTTGCCAAAAAAACTACTTGTCAAGGTAGTGTCCAAGAATCAAACACAATTGTGAACAGAAGAATAAAATGACCAATTTGGGACAGCACAATTGTGAAGGGTATTCCTAAATTACAGATTCTCTTGGAGGGGGGGGGTGTCGTTATTTAGTTTTTCCACCCCATAATTTACATGTCCTTCTCTGTGGGAGCCCCTTCCCTCTGGAACGAACTGCCCCCGGAGCTTCGTATAATCCCCAACCTCCGGTCCTTCTGATGCGCCCTAAAAAGTTGGCTTTTCCAGCAAGCCAGCCTGGCCTGAACAAAACAAATCGAAGTATTGATTATTGTTCATTTTAATTCTTTTTAAAAAATGTGTCATTGTTAATTTTAATTGGGTTTGGGGGATATCCTATGTAATTTCTTTTTAACTTTTGTAGTAT